TGGTGCGGGCCCGGCGGCCGCTGCGGCCCCGCGGGGACCCGGCCCGGCCCGGCCCTTCCCCGCGCTGGAAGTTCCGCCGGGGCCCGTCCCAGCGCTCCGGATCGCGGCCCCGAGCACGGTAAAGCTGTCACACGGCGCTGTGGTTTAGCTCTTCTAATGGAGCTGTGCTACCGCCTGAGTCATCCCGCAGGCTCCGAGGGGAAGCTACAGCCTTGCCTTCCCCTCCCTGGAACCCTGCTCCGTGTCCTGGCCTTTTGGGAAAACGCTGCTGCCCAGCTCCCCTGCTGTCTTAAAAGTGTTTGCTTGATCATCAGTGTCTTTTACCAGGAAAAAAAAATACTCGAGGGTTATTGGAGTCCAGTTGCATTTCCTTAGTGAATTTGTATCCTTTTCCCAGCGAAATGTGTAGCTGTCAGTTTGGAGTCTGTATACAAGGGTCAGGTGTAGAAAATAGCCGTCCCGTGGTGTTTCTGCTCTCAGTGACTCCCTGAATCTAATTTTTGTCTAGAACCAGCTGCCAACCCCCCAGCACCCACTTAAGCTCAGTTTGTAGCCCTGTTTGGTTTTCTGTGTGCTGTCGGGTCTGTGTTAACATCTCTGCTTTGCTCGTAGGTTACCTTGGAGGCTTTGTGAAGCTTCATGATCAGGTTAAAGCTCAGGTGGAGAAGAAAATGGAAGAGAGCTTGAAGCCTTACTTTTGCTCGTGGAATAGGTAGCACTTGGAAGGGGAGGATTTGGACTGTGGTTTTAGGGTGTTGGATTTTCCAGCTGAGGGTCCAGGACTGAGTTACATAAGGAAGTTGTGCTCCAGCTGAGTGCTGCTTGTCTGCAGTGTTCTGTCCCTTACTTTAGGGATCCCCGGGGTCCTGTGAGGAGTGTTCCACAGTGTTTGTGGGCTCACAGGTGTTTGGGAATACTTCTTCCTCCTCGGGAGTGGGTCGATAGACCTGGGAGATACAGCAGTGGATGCTGAACGGGGTAAATGTGGCTGGGGGACACACCGGGCTGGTGTGGGAACAGTGAATCCCCTGTCAGGTAACTCGGGAAAGCTGCTTGGTTGTAGTTCAGTGCGAGCTGAGGGTCAGGAGTCAACGCTCTGAGAGCACTTGTGTTTCCAGGCTGGTTTGTGACAGGAGAGGAGCTGGATGTGTTGAGTCTTTGTTAACGTTGGGTGCTTGTGGACTGACTCTTCCTGCTGCTTTTCAAGGATTAAGAACCCCGAGGGATAATGAGGACTGTGTAGGGTTATGAGAGTCTTCAAAGTGCCGAAGCAGTGCTGTGTGAGCTCTGCAAAGCACCAAGAGTTTCAGTGGAGTGAGTGTGGTGATGGCTGTGGAGGAGAGGGAGGTGATGGGGCTGGAGGCAGCATTTCCAGCAGAAAACCTGTGTGGGGGTAGATAAACTTGCCTGTTGTAGCAGCCCAGGTGCTTTAAAAGTTGGCTGGGAGTGGAGCTCCAGGCTGGAAGGAGCACTCTGAGTTGCTGTGGGTGTCTGGCCTTGACTGCTCCAGTAATCGTGGCTGGTTGTTTACGCTCTGGCTATTTTAAACCCCGTGGAGAGCTCTCCTATCATCGTCTCCGGGTTGTTCTGGGCTCTGGGAGTGTGTGGTGGCCATCCCTGTCAGGATAACGAGGGGACAGACAGCTTCTGACCTTTGCTGTTGCAACTTGTGGCAAGAGCAGGAGCCCGCTGAGTGTGGATCGAGTAGGAATAATCCCTGTGGAGTCGAGCACAGAGACGGGATGGGAGGGAAAACTGCTGCTCTGGCTTTTTTTGAGGGTGGTATCAGTCATGGTATATCAGTGTGCAGGGCTTGGTTTGGCCACTGGACCTTGCTCTTGGCAGTTTGGGTTTTATACCGAACCACAAAGGCCTTTCTGTGACGCTTTTTCCAAAATTTTTGTGTCCTCGGATAACACAGGGATGAGAACTTGGAAAGAAGGAGAAAATCCCGAGAGTAAACCTTTGATACAGTGTTACCTGAAATGGCCTCTTGCATGTTGAGCTGCTCTGGGCTGGAAGAGGGGGCCAGAACAAGGAGTTTACACCGGGTGAACAGCGTTGTTGCTGGTGTGTGAGGCAGCAGAGGAACCTGCAGGGTCTGTCCCAGCCTGTCCCTGTGGCACAGTTGCTCTTGGGATTGTCCAGAGGCTCGTGCTGGGATAACGTGTGTGCATGGAGCAGCAGCTGTTCTCTGAGCAGATGCTCCAAAAGAGCTCAGCCTGGGTGAGACCTGCTCTCAGATTGCTGCCTGTGTTACTCACTGCAGTATTTTGGGCAGTGGGGCTGCGGATTCTTGTTTGGGTGCCTTTACTGGCTCACAGGCCTGAAAGTTGAAATCCTTTCTTGTAGACATGTTTGGGGTGTAAGCAGGGCTGCCAGGCAGAGTCCCTGGGATAACAGTGAAGTGCAGCAATGTAATCGTTGTTTGTACATAACAATTATCTGTCTTATCATGGGTAAATTCATAAGAAATGCAGAGTGAAGCAATCCAGGGGCAGGATGGGAGGGATACAGGAGGCCCAGAGTGGATGGCTTCCATTTTAAGGTTTAAGCTGAAGCACTTTGGATTCAGCCACGTCCCCATCTGTGTTGCTTATCTGTAGGGAATGCAATACCTATAACTGGATAACTAGGGCAGTGTTTGGAGTTCTCTGAATGGGAGAGCAAGGGAAAGGTTGGCTCATTGTCTTTCCTGGGCTCCCCTGTGTGATCGGCGGGTGAGGGGGAAGGGAAGGCAGCAGCTGTGCCTGAGCCCTGCTCAAGTAAAGCATTTTCTGTAGCAGAGGAGTGGTGGATTGCTGTTGCTTGTACTGTAGAGGCCCAAAAACCAAGTAATGCTTCACAGAACTAAACTCTGACTTCCATTGGTTCCTGCTCAGCTGTGGAGGAGGGTGGTGGTAGTTGCTGTAGTCCTGGAGTCCAGAGCTGCCCGACCTCTGGGGATGCTTAGGCATCACTTCTGCCAAAATGAGCCCTGCCCGTGGGTGGGATGTGAGGTCAGTGGTGCAGTTGGTGTGCTGAGCTGTAGTTGTGCTACCTGTGCTGAGCAAACTCGGTGTTATTTCAGTGCTCCCAGTTCTGTACAGCAGCCAGTGGGAGCAACTGGGTTCTTCCGCTGGGCCTCGCTGTGTGCGTGGAGCTGCCAGCACAGCCCATCTGTGCTGGAGAGCTTGTGTACAGGGAAGGCTGGGAGGCTTCTGTTAGCTGGAGGGGTGTTTTGATACTCAGACTCTACCCCAGGAGGAAGTTATACATTGCTTTGGTCTTCTTCCTGTGCAGCCTTTGAAAAAAATAAAGAAGGAGAGGTGACAGTTACATCAGAGTGTGTTTATAACACTTACCTTGGTTATTGCTGTGATCGTGAGTCTTTTCATGCTGCTCAGTTGCCTTCTGACTTCTGCAGTCTTGGAAGGAGTCAAAGTTGGAGGATCTGAGCCACTGCAAGCATTGCAAAAGCAGTTTCTGTCAAAAGGGAAGGATTAAAATGCTGCTGTTAATCGGGATAGCAGCATTAGAATGGCAGATGCTCGGGAATCGTAGTCTGCAGGCAGGAGAACCCCTATGGATGTGGCAGGGAATTGGTGGCCTGACCTTGGTGCACACGTGAGAGCACTGCCTGGTGCTGCTGGGTGAGAGGAGCTGAGGGAAGTGCCAGGTGGAGCCAGGCTCTGGATCCTGGCAGGGAGGTGCTGCTGGCCCGGGGAAGGTGCAGAGGCTGTTCTCACCCTCCTGCCCCGTGGGTCCTGCACAGGGACTGGCACTGCCCTCTCTGGTCCTGAGGTGAGGCTGGGTGTGATGGATTTGACTTTGGCCCTGATTCCCTATTGCTTGGCTCTGCTCTGTTGGGAGCTGGGAACAATTCATGGCTAAGTGGCTGCGAGTTCCTTTTTGGTTACATAAGTCAGGATTTTGTAACATCACCCTACACTGCCTGTTGCTGAAGGGTTCAGGGGCTTGGGGCAAGTAGACTTGCTAAAGGCAGATGGAAAGCTTGTTTCACTCACAGCAGCAACCTGAGGCAGAAATTAGGTTTATAATCAAGCTAATGATGTGGTCTCTGAGTAAAACAGAATGTGAAAGCAGCTCAAACTGGAGCATGGTGGAAAGCCCATGGAGTCCAAGCTAAGAGGACTTTGGATAATCTAGAGGGGTACATCTAGTGTGTTGGAGTGGATTTAAGGAGCTCTGCTATGTACCAAATAAAATTGCTGGAGCTGACTACTAAAGGGTGCTGACTTTTTACTCACCTGATTGGCTTCTTGAGGTTGCCAGTTAGGTTGGTTATTCTTACTGAAGGCTGTATTAGCATTAACTTAATCCTTAAAACTAGTCTTCTGGCCAGAGCAGGTTTTACCAGGAATGTGTTAGACTGGGGAGGGATTTGTTGTCTAGAGGAATAAATTTGAACTTCTCTAACAAATGTCTTTGGAGCTTACAATTATAACCTGAAACATGTTCAGGGTTAAACTTTGAGACCTAAACCACTTGGGTTTGGTAGTTCTTTGAAAGCTTCTTGTGCAGTTTGTGAACTCCTGGATTGAGGTGTGTTTTCAAGGCAGTGTACAAGCTCCTGGGAAATGGGAGAACTGTAGGAGGGGGGGGGATGAGGGTAATGTGGGGCTGAGCAAGGCTGGTGGCACTGGTTTGCCTGTGAGCCCCGAGGCCTCGCTGGCAGCTGATGCCTTTCATGACTCGGGAAGCACAGCTGGGGGGTCTGTGGCATAAACACACTCCATCTCCCTTAAAATGCTTTCATGGAACCCCTGAGTAGGAGTTTGGTTTGTTTGGAACTTTGGAGCACATTTAAATCTCATTTTGGAGCCTAAACATCAGCTTTTTTTTTTGTGTGACTTTTATAGTTTTTAGGGTATGTCCTTCATGGATTTAGTTGTAGTAGTTGCATTCAACTTGGCCTTTGGGCAGGACACCTTGAACCTTGTTTTGTGCTGTGCTTCCACTTCCTCATTTTTGCTGAGGGACTCATTAATAGCTGTGAGATGGGTCAGGTTAATGGTAGGATCGACAGCAGTGGGCCCAGCCCTGGAGGTGTTTTGCTGTAGGGGAGGTGGCAGAAACTTTAAATTCTGTAGGATGCCTTCAACTGGAAAGCCAGCTCAGGGTGAGGCAGCCCCCTGGAGCTGAGTAACTCAAACTGGAATTTGATCTAAAGCCTGTTTGAGTCTTCACTTATAAGCTCCTAAAACCTTCTTCGTGTGCTTAAGGACCAGAAACTGTCTGGAGTGGGAACTGGCTTCAGATTTTGTTTTAATATCAGTGTGGTCAAGATCAGGCTTGATCACTGACCAGCCAGACTTCCTAGATCACAGGGGAATAAAACAGTTTGGGATCAGGTCCATGCAAGTTTGTAGATGGTACCAGACTGTAACTGAACCCACCGCGTGCTACGAGCTCCAGTTTTATGGGAACTCTGGAGTCATTTGTTCCGAGTTACACAAACCAGCTGGTTCTCAGTCTCCCTCAGCAACAACATCTGGAAGCAGAGACCTCGCTGGGTTGAGTGTTGTGCTTTTGCAGTGCCTTGGGAACTGCTGAGGAGCCTGCAAAAGGCAGAGTAACCTCTGGGACAGGTTTGGCTCTGCAGCAGCCATGGGTGCTCCTCTGTGTGTGCCTGGATAGATACAGTTCCATTCCTGTCCTTAAACTTGGCTCTGCAGCTCTGACCAGGGAGTAGTGGGAGTCTTAGAAGCAGCTGGAAGGGAATGGTGTGTTAAAGGGATTATCCATGCCCTGCCAGGAAATCCATTTTGCCTCTCTGGTGGGCAGAGGCAGCTGGTGCCTGTGCTCCAGAGGGGTCTTAAACTTCCTCATTGCTCTCCAAGCTGTTGTTCTACAAACTATGGGAGGTTTTGTGTTGCAGGGGCTTGAAATGGGAGTTGGTGCTAAACTTTTCCAGGCACAAGGAGCTTACACATTGCTTTTTACATGGGCCTTTTAATCTGTGATGTTTCACTCTGAAATTGTAGAGCAGAACCTGAAATGCCACCTTGTCACTGAGAGAAGTGGTTCAAGTGCTTGTTGTAAGTCATGGCTTTCCACTGAGATAATACCCAGGGCACCAAAGTATTCCTTTCTAGCTGGAACTGGAGATGTAGAAAATGAAATAGTATTTTGATGAGAAATGGAGCTGCTACTACCTGAACTTCACTGCTGCCTCTGGAGAGTTACCTTGTGGTCCCACTGTTGTATCCAGTGTGGTGAAGCCCTTGGTGCATTTGGGCAGCAGGATACAGGGGGAATGTCAGGGCAGCTTTATGTGTATTCTGCTAACTGGTGGAGTGTGTGCCCAAGCTCCTGTTTGTAACCATCTCCCCTGTATAGCAGGGAAGCTGCATGTTGTGTGTCCATAAATATAATCCATGGTGGGCTGTGGTCCTACATGGAGAATGTGGATTCTTACAGTTGTACCTTCCTAGTTTAGTGTATGCTTTGTACTGATGCATGAAACAGGATGAGAAGTGGCAAGGAATATTTTTTAATGAATGTGTTTGTGGTTTTGAATACCATAGCATTAAATTGTCTTTTCCAGAAAATTAGAGTCCAGTAGCATTTGGAAGTGAACTGTTCTGTACAATTTTAGGAAGAGTAGGTGTATTCCTGGTTTTAAGTTCTCATGTGGAGACTCCCTTCATTGGCTGGACTGACCCCGAGGAAGGTGTGTGTAGTGTCTGCACCTTCCTGTGCTGCCCTGGTGGGGCAGGGTGTCTCCTGGCTTGCTGCTGCTGGAGCAATTCCAAAGGGCTTTCAGAGATGGTACATGGAGCACTGGAGATGTTCTCTCCACCTTCAGGATGGAGGAGGCTCTTGAGCAGGTGCTGTGTGTGCAGTGCCTGTTCCTGCCCGAGTCTGTGCTGAACCACAAAGTGGAAGAAGCTCAGCAGGAGCTCCACAAAAGCTCCCATAGACTGGTGAGTCAGGAGATTTCCAGCTGGGCTCTTTAGCAGTTGGGAGCTTCTGAGAGCTGAACCAAACTCGTGTGTGTGTCAGGGAATGTGAAGCTTTGGATCTGCACTGCATCCAGAGGGGAATGCCCAGAGATTTACCTGTTTGATGTATGGCAGCATTCTGAGGTTGTAACTGGAGAGGGTTTGCTTAGTGATGGCCTCCCAGTTCCTGGGAAGTAGAAGCTGGAATTCCCAGAGATCATCTGAGCTTAATCACTCACTGCCTGTAAATAACAAAAGGCCGTTAAGTGACAAACCTCTTCTACTTCTGCTATCAGCTTGTCTTAAACATTGTCCTTAAAAGTTTTGTCTGCCAAAAGCTTGGTATGGAAACTTCACTGTGGACTGTTGCTGGGAGGTGAAAAGCTGAACACAAAACGGATCAGGGACAGCATGGAAGTGTTTCCTGAGCACTAGATTTAGTTGTAATCCTTGTTGTCTGGTGTGTGTTCAGCTTTCTAGACTGAGCTAGGACAGAAAAAAGCTGATATGTGTGGGCCTATCATGCAAAGCAGGTCAGTGGCTGAGCCAGAAATGGGGCAGGTAAAGTTTGTCTTTTAAAGTTTTATTCTATTTTCACTTCCCAATAAACAACCACTTCCTGAGAAAATGGCTAATGTGAGTTGCTGGTAACAGTAATTCTCTGAACTGTGCTAAAATGTTGCTTCAAACTGAAGCTTGGTATAATTCAGGAGTACTGTGAATTACTCAGCCCACTCAGACTCATAATGGGATTTTTTTCAGAGGAAAATTTGACTGACACAGCCACTGAAAAGTGAGGGTTTCCATTCAGGTCTGTAGGTAGGGAAGGCCTTGTGTTTTATTCCATTTCCCCCTGCCCTGTGGTCAGTGATGTGTTTGTGTGGAGGCAAACCAGCCCCAGGTTACTGGAGCTGTGTGTGCTGCAGGCAGGCTGTGGAGGTGATAAACTGGATCACTGTAGCTGGAGCAGTCTGGGAACTGTTACAATAGAGGGGATAAAATAAGGCTGATACAGAGAGTTGCTGGATTGAGGCCACCTTATCTCCCTGTGACCTGGGGACAGTGGAGGATATAATACCTCAGTAATGCTGGGACAGTGCAGGCAAACCCAACAGACCCTGTGACATGGTGAGATTGCTGTGGCTCCGGGTCTGGGCAGCCTGGAGGGGTCACTGAGGCAGGTGCCAAACGTGGCTCCTGCGTTGAAGATGCAGCTTTGCTTTCCAAAATCCTGGCTGTTAGTTTTGTGGCGCTGCCAGAGTTGCCACCAGCAGCTTTTTAGCAATAACATGGTTGTTTTTGAAACGAAACGAACTGAACTCTTCCTGTTTTGTAGGAGTTGAACGATCTGGCACGTGATCCTCCAGCACAGTGTTCAGCAGGGCCTGTTGGGGATGACAGTAAGTATCCTGCTCTCAGAGACACCTGCACTCTGCCACTTCCTTCCTTCTAAAACAGGATGTCCAGCACCTCAGCAAGGAGAACCCTTCTGTTTCTTCTGGTTAGAGTACTAGATACTGCTCCCCATCCTGACATGAAATTTGTTGCTCTTCTGTATCCCTTTAACACCTTCCCTGTGTATCACTGATGCTGCTCCCACTCTATTAATTGGACAACTCGATGCATATCTTAAGTTACACCTTTTGAGTTAACTGTTCTGGAATTCTGGATGGAGTTAGGAAACCTCAGTAGCTCTGTGGCCAAACCAGCAAGCACCTGCCTACAGCTTTCTGCACTTGGATATCTAAACTGTACATGGTGCAGTCATGTGTTCTTGTAGGACTAAAACAATCTACTCCCAGGACTCCTGCTAGTACAGCAAGGTCAGGGTTAGCTCTGTTTTACACAGCAGTTAGGTAACACTGCCTTTTTTTTTTTTTAAAGAGGGTTATATGTAGTCCTTGGGGTTGAGAGGTTAAAATGTGGTTGAAAGGAAAATGTTGATAAATTACAACTTGAATCATGAAGTAATGTTGGTTGGGTTTGGTTTTGGTTTTTGAATTTATAGGCAGGATTTCAAGCAATTTCACTCAGTTTGGAATCCTTCTTGTGGCTTTCTCAATAAACAAAACCAGAATGTCTAAACTCTGCTGTCATGACTAACCTGTGGCCTGACTGGGATGTGGGTGCTTAGGTATGAGGGAGGAGGTGCAAGAGAAGCATCCTTAAATCAGGCACTTCATCAGGAACCACAGCGACAGTAAAAGGGGGAATAACTTCAGGCTGAGAGTAGGTTTAGGTTGGTATTGGGAAGAAATTCTTCCCTGTGGGGGTGGTGAGGTCCTGGCACAGGTTGCCCAGAGAAGCTGTGGCTGCCCCATCCCTGGAAGTGTCCAAGGCCAGGTTGGACAGGGCTTGGAGCAACCTGGGCTAGTGGAAGGTGTCCCTGCCCATGGCAGGGGTGCAGCAATATGATCCTTGTGGTCCCTTCCAGCCCAAACCATTCTGACTCTGTGTTTGTAACCTGTGCCCAGATCAGTGTGCCCTGCCAGCTCCTGCTAAGGGACAGCCTCAGACAATCTCTTTGATCTCCACATCAGCTGGTGTTTGCCGTGCCAGGCTGCTCACCTGAGGTGTGATTTGCAGTTGTTCTGTCCTTTTGAAGCTCGAGGAGGTGTGTTAAGCAGGAAAAAAGCAGCTCTTTAAAATCCTACCCTGATTTTTTTTATCTAATGTTGATTTGTAGTAAGAAGATCTGCTGTCATCTTGTGCCTGTATTTTGGCCCAGGGAGGGGAGGACAAGATACATCGTGTGACTTGACTTCAGGCTCTTTATGTGACTGGTTCTTACCTTAGTTGTAAATGGTGTTCCCCAGTCTGCTTTGATTAGAATCATGGAATATCCTGAGTTGGAAGGGACCCACAGGGATCATCCAGTCCAACTCCTGGCCCTGCCCAGGACATCCCAACAATCTCACCCTGTCCCTGAGAGCGTTGTCCAAACACTCCTTGAGCCTTGGTGCTGTGACACTGCCCTGGGGAGCCTGTTCAGTACCAACCACCCTCTGGGGAAAAAACCTTTTCCTGAAATCCAACCTAAACCTCCCCTGACACAGCTCCAGGCCATTATTAGCTGTGAATAAGGCACCTTAACTGATGCCCTTCACATTATGGTGGTTTTCTGTGAGAGGCCTTTAACCTGCAGGAGTTCTGCAGGTTGTACCATCTTCTTCATTTTCACCAGAAAGTGTAAAATTATACTTGACTGTTTTTTTAATAGCACCATCAAACTCTTGTCATAGCTTAGGTGAGCAAGATCAGTAGGATGTTTGCAGTGAGACAAGAACACTTGCAAATCCAGTTTTTCAACGTGGTCTCTCACTGATATACTGTCAGCAAAGCTTCCAAGCTCCTGAGAGAGGGGATATTTAAGTAGGGAAACCCTCCAGGTGTGTGCTGAGAACTCTGAGCTCAAGTATCCTTTCTGAAAGGAAAAAATTAGCCACCAAGATCTTTCTGAATAATTTCTGAACCAGCAGTTCTGAAGTGTATAGAAACTTCCACATTCCTGCAGAAATGTAGGGCTAGATAAAAAAAACCCCACTCGAAACCTGAGAATGAAAATACTGAAATTAGTGGGGGTGTTACTGTTCAGCAGAACTGTCAAACAAGTGGAAGCTCAGCTTGGTTTTGAGAGTGTTAAGCAGTAGGGTCAAGCTTTTAGTGACTTCACAACTTATTTCTGCTTTCCAAATAGTGTTTCAAAGAGGTTTGTAGTTTCATGGAAAAGAAATGACTAAGATGGAGAGCCAGGCTGAGGCTTTTATTCCCTTAAATTAGCGAGTGCGATTTGTGCCACGATAAACTGCTTTGTGGTTTCCAGAGCCTTATCAAAGGTGATGACGATTGTCTGGCAGAGAAGGTGGAAAGTTACTGCTGAGCACAGAAAGCTTTAAATTACTAAAAGTTCTTCTTGTGCCACCTTTCTGAAGGACCTCTAATGAAAGGCTTCAGTTGTTGAGAGCAACAGTTCGGGGGTGTGTAAGTGGATAGCAGTGGCAGCAGCAGCAAAGTGCCTTCTCCCAAATCCCTGTGCCCCAGGTGTGCCTCGGCTGCCTTGTCACAGTGACATTTCCTGATGTTCAGGACATGCTGTACTTGCAAAGTGCTCTCCTGTGGCTACTTCAGCTGATACAAACTGTCCCCAGCTGTAAGTGTCTCATCCCCGTAGTTCATAAACTTTGGGAAGTGAAGAGCTGTTCCTGCATTGTAGGAATGGGATTTTCTTGGCAATGTAGTTTTAGCCCTTTTCCTCCCACCTCTGGCCTGTGTTTTGGAAATGTGCTTGGGACTGGATGACATTGGTGTGCTTCCAGTGGCTTAGCTATTCCAGACATGTACCTGTGCTTCCCTACTGAAAGTCAGCAGCCCCCTTACTTTGTAAATACCTTTTTATGGGTGATTTCAAAGGAAAGAATCAATTAGAATAAGCTCTGCATGTCAAATCCATCTTGTTGTTCATCAGACTTGTCCTGGATATTGTGAGGTGTAAAGCTTAGGTTAAACAAGCTCTTTGCTTGAGTCTGGGGTTGGAGCTTTCAAAAAGTTAAGATTCACTGTGGAAATGTTTTTCTTTCTGGTTTCTTGTTGGGCTTAAGACAATAGATGGTTATTTGAACTTCTCTTTCCAGTGGTGCCTGTGTGTACTCCAGTGAATCTCATCAGCATCTACTGGTTCCTGTGAGATTTTTGGTGGTTTTGCTGTGACTGGCCACAATCTTCCCTATGGGGTTCCTGCTGCCCCTTTGTCCTCTGCTCCAGGTTTCTCCCTGTCCAGGTGCAGGTGATAGGCACTTCCTGGGAAGCTGGCTGAACCCCTTGAAAGGGGGGGAATGCCACATATGGACATGTGATCTGCTGTCTCTGTTTCCTGGCTCTGCATTGAATGTAGTTTCTCAAAGGCTGCTGCATCCAAACTCCTGAGAGAAGGGATATTTAAGTAGGGAAATCCATTTATGGGCTGAGGGCTCTAAGCTCAGATATCCTTTGTAAAAGGAAAAAAATCAGCTGCCAAGATCTTTGTGAATAATTTCTGAGCTGTTCACCAGTGCTGAACTGTATAGAAATTTCCACATTCCTATAGAAATGTAAGACTAGATTAAAACAAACCTGCTCCAACCCAACCCTCATTTCCTCTGTCCTTGCAGGGCTGTTCCCACTTTGCCTTTTTCCTCCTTCCTTGTATGACATCATTCCCAGCTGTAATGCCTGTACCATGAGTAATTAAAAACTGCTCATGCTAGATTAGAACAGGTAGTACCACTCCTAACTTCTGGCCCAGGTAGTCTTGACAGCCGTAGACATCACACATCTTGTGTCTGGAAGGCTTCCCTAGCAACAGCTGGAGTCACCTCCAGCTTCCCAGTCTGAAGGTGCCATGTAGCTGACATCCATGCTGAGGGGAGCTTCCATGGTCCTATTTCCCAAATAATTTGTACTCCTTGCCCAGGCACTGGAGCCTTTGGAGATGCAGGAACTCCGAGAACTCCCTAATGTGCTTCATACAGATTATCAACTTGGATTGTTTTCCTTCCCAGCACGACAACGTTCTTCACAAGTCCTCTGTATGACCAGATTTCTGTTCTCTTGGACAGATGCATATGAGTGAGGTTTAACTTTAGTCCACTTAACCTAAAGTGTGTCCTAGCACATTCTGGTCCTGAGTCTGGAGCAGACTGTTGCTCCTGCATTCTCTTAAGACATTGCTTTCTGCTGCGTTAATGAAATCTTGAGGCCTCTGTGGAGAGACTAAGCTTAAAAGTTCAGTGAGGATAGCAGTGGCTTAAATTACCTCTGTACATGTGGTGTACACAGAGCTGGGGCTTGTTCTCTGTGTGACCAGGGCTCTGAGAGGAGAGCAGGTATGAGCTCATCATGTACCTTTTGTTCTCACAGGGCAGTCGTGGAAACTTAGTTCAGCTGCTTCATTAGAAACTGCAGAGTTTAAACTCACACTTTTGAGTCTGAAAAGTTGCCTAGGACTGTCTGGATTTCTATTGTCACAGGATTTTTGCAGGGCATATGTGTGGTACCACAGCAATCCTGGGCTGTGGAGCATTGAGTACTTTGCCCTGTGTCTGTTTAATTCCTTGGCTCCCTTCCCTGCAGCCTTTCAGAAGGCTTTGTTTTGAAAATAGACTTTTCTGTGCTGCTTTGTCTGGAAGAAAGTAAGATCATTACTTGAGCTTCTCCAAACTGAAGTAAATCTCTCTCTCTTTCAGTGTTCCATTGGCAAGCTACAATAATGGGACCAGTAAGTATGAGAGAATTGATGCTTGTGGCTTTTTATGATGGGTTGTCTTGTAATAACTCCTCAAGCTGCAATGATTCTTTCTCATTAACAGAACGACAGTCCCTATCAAGGTGGAGTATTTTTCTTGACAATTCACTTCCCAACAGATTATCCCTTCAAACCACCTAAGGTGAGTGGCTTCTACCATAAATCCATCCTTTACCATGTGGTCTGATGTATATATTTGTGAGCCTACACTGAAAATTTTCCTTCTTCTGCAGGTTGCATTTACAACAAGAATCTATCATCCAAATATTAACAGTAATGGCAGCATTTGTCTTGATATTCTACGATCACAGTGGTCCCCAGCACTAACTATTTCAAAAGGTACCTCCAATGCTCATTTTAATTTTTACTCTGCTGAAATGAAGTACTGATTTGGGATGTAAAAACTGCTGCATTCCTGCTGGCATCAACCATTTCTGTGGTCACTGCTTCAGTCGTGTGACCCTGCCTGGAGCTGGCAGCCAATTCCTGAGTGTAGGATGCTCGGCACATCCATCTGCCCTGGGGCACAGGGAGACTCCTCAGCTTTGCCAGTGGAGGCAGATAAGTCCTACTGCACTGAGTACACACTTCTGCCACCTCACCTCAGAGTCTGAACACTGACACTAGGCTTAATTTTATATATTTTTAGTTAATGACAATGAAAGACTTTAATATTCAGAATACACACCAAGTAAAATATTTAAGGGAGCAGCTGTAGTTCTTAAGAAGTTATAAACTTGTCTAATTGTTTGTCATCTTAAAAGACCCTTTTTCAAGGAAACATCATAACTCCGTGTTGGCAGCTTTTAAACAAAGCTTTCAATGACATGCACTGCTAAAGCATGTTATAAAACTTAACTAGCTTGCACTATCTTGACTTTTTTTAGCTAAAAATAATCTTGGACCCTGTGAACTGAGTTAGTGGTTAGCTTGGAATGTATCCTTTGCCTAGTAAAGCAGTATTCATATTTATTATAAATACAAGGCTTTAAATGCTTGAAAGAAAACCCAGGTTGGAATTTTATTGATTTTTCTGGCTAATGAAACTGTAGATTTATGAACTGTAGATCAAGTCTGTAGGTCTAGCCATGGCTATTTAGGAATATTTTGGGTCTACCCTGTGCATGGACCATGTCTCAACTCCTCTGTTTTGTAGCTTCACAGTGTCCCTGTGCTCAAACGCTGCAGTTGCCACATTGATGACATTATCCTTCACATCTTGTCCCTGCTCTGAGGCTTTCCTGTGCCCTCTCCTTCACCCCAACTCCCTGTGATGTTTCTGGGCAATTTTTGATTTAGGCAGGTGATTCCTGGTACGTCCCTTGGACATCATCACTGTCTCTCTTTCCCTGAACCCACAGAAGTTCCCACCTTCTTTGTCCAGCTAAAGGCATTTGTAGAAACAGTTGGAAAGGCAAAACAGTATCTCCTTGTCTCTTGTCAGAAGTGAGTTTGCTCGCGCACGAGGCTGAAAGTCTTTGTTGTGAGTTGAAAGCACTGAAGAAATGGTGTCAGTAAAGGGAAAATGATTGTCAGGTTGCTGTAATTTCCTTGCAAGTGCTCTCAGTCAGTACTGGCTGCTCCTGGAAGCACCAAGTTAGCACCAAGCACTGACATCTGTTCTGGTTTGATTTAATTGCTGTATAGCTGGGCAGAATGTGTGTTGTTTTAGGGAGTCTGAAATGGCCATATGGGCAGTGGGGTGATAGACAGCATGCTTGAAAATACTGGGAGATAGACTGGAATTGGGACAGTTGGGAAAAGATGGGGCAAGACTTCAAGAGACTGGTTAAGGGCAGCAGTGGGCTGAAAATACATCCTAATGTTAATTTTGCTGTCCAAATACATTTCCAGTATGCTCTAACATCTCCTGTTTTCTGCTTTGGACTCCTTTTTTTTTTTTTTTTCTTACCCTTTTCAAACTGTATCCTCCTGGCTGAGCTGGAGTTCTGTGGGATCAGGGTGGCTGTTTCATGCCACTGTGCCCTTCCACTGCCCCCTGTGAGTGCCCTGCTGGGGTCAGGGGACTCTGTAGTCCTGATCAGTTCTCACTCACTGAAGAGGAGTTCACTCAGTGCCCAAACTCTGCTGCACATGCACAGCATCCATACAGCTCTAACCTGGGAGAAAACCTTGTTCCCACTTCTCTTGGGGTACATTTATTGAAGGAATTAAAGCAGCAAAGCAAATTCTTACAGGTGACTTTATAGAAACTGGGAATGCTTTCCTCAGAATCACAGAAAGCAGAGCTCAACTTCAGAAGCAAAGAGCTGATGGTCCCATCTTGAACAAGTGTAAAGAAATTGCACAAAGGCAACTTGAGTCTTTTAGGGCTGAAATCTTGTGTTCAATCAGGTTAGAATGTGTCATGACAGACTTTGGGGCTGTTTCAGCTCTCTAGTGACTGATCAGCCTTATCAAAGAATGGATGTGTTCCTAGCAGGAAAAGCTGTTGGATTAGGTAGTTTAGAGTGAGTAACAGGACTTAAGACATTCAGCAGTAAACTCACATCCCTTCCAAAGCAGCAATTTAGTATTTGTATTGTGGATTTCTTAGAGTATTTCCTAAATGGTGCCACCCTTTAACTGGGATACTACTGGGAACAAGCTGTTTGAATTTAAAATCTGTAAGCAGATAACTAGAGCACAGCTGAAAAAAAAATGTGCTTTCTGCTGATTGAGAAATCTGGAAAGACTAGAAACAGTCCTTCTAGGAAAAAGCTTATCATGCACAGCTTCCTCCTGAGGCAGCTGGGAGGCAGCACTGTCAGCAGCTTGGATGGGCTTGGTGTTATGTTGCAGTTAATGTGTGGTACATGAACATGTTTTACACCTTAACCTCCAAGGAGGGAGGGGAAGGGGTGTGCAGTGACTTCCTTTGGATTTAAAGTGCCTCCTTTTGGTGCAAAGGCAGTGATAAATCTTGTCAGTGGTAGTTAATCATCCCAGTTTGCTGGTAAAGGGTCTTGGCCCCTCACACTCTGGAGCCCTCTGTGAGCAACTTGATAAAGTGACTGTGGCTGTGACAGGTGACTGGCATTTTGGGGTTTTGTTCTGTCCCTTCTAGAATTGTTAAAACAGCTTCTAAAGGCTTGGGAGAACAACAGTGAGTGTCTCAGTAGAACAGCTAGTTTGCTTGTATTAGTAATTCTTTACTCAGTGTTCCTTAAAGAATACATATTGGAGAACAAATCATCTCAAAATACAGTGTTAACCACACCTTGGTGGGCAATTTGAACTCCAAGGCTTAAGTAGAATGTGTAGGCTTAAATTAAAAACATTATCTCCAAGTCTGTACAAATAAGAATCTCTGTTGCCTGAAACAGGAGGATGAAGTATCTTAACATGATTACAGCTGTTCCCAGCCACTACTGGGGGGAAAAAAAGATGGTTTCTCTTGAACTTGGCAAGGGGATGTGCAAGAGTTGATCTTGAAGTACTTCTGCAGTGAAAGTCAAGCAGCTCACTCTGTCCTGTCCCACTTCTCCCCATATTTTGTAACTAGTGACTCATGGAGCCTGTTTGAGTGTGCTGGAGGGGCAGTGAGGAACTTCAGCCTCATTCATGGCAGAGTTCAGCTCTGCTGTCCAAACGTCCATGCCCAGTGTGCTGTGGATTTTCTGTGCTGCTGCTCTTCAAGAATTGCTTAACTGAGACTTACTGTGTGGGATTTCCCCAGTACCCAGCGAACTAAATGAACTGGACCTTCACAAGGCAGTTTTAAAAATTGGGAACCTGGTTTCTGATCGTCTTCTTGGCACTTTAATTTGCCTGTTGTAGCACTTACCCACATAACTGGGTGGCTTTGTCACAGAGCATGGGTGTGACATGATATGCTGAGTTAGGGTTCTAAGGGAAATGCTCATTTTTGCTTTTCAACTCTCAAAACTGTAGTTTAACCACTTGTGCAGCTTCCCAGATGTTGCTCCAAGGAAGTTTGTACTAGGAGGATGTGGCTGGCAGGTTGAGGGATGTGATCTTTCCCCTCTGCTTGGCACTGGTGAGGCTGAATCTGGAGCACATATCCAGTGCTGGGCTCCCCAGAACAGGGAGGTCATGGATATATTGGAGAGAGCTCAGTGAGGGCCATGAATGCCATGGAGGGACTGGAGCATCTACCATTATGAGGCAGGCTGGGAGCTGGGACTGTTCAGCCTGGAGGAGAGAAGGCTTGGGGGAATCTTATCAGTGTCTGTAAATACTTGAAGGGAGGGTACAGAGGTGACAGAACCAGACTGTTCTCAGTGGTGCCCAGTGACAGGGCATGAACTGAAGCACAGGAGGGTCCCTCTGAACAGCAGCAAACACCTTTTTGTGTTTTATTTTTACTGTGAGAATGCTGAGCACCAGCACAGGTTGCCTTGGGAGGTTGTGGGATCTCCTGCCTTTGAGATACTCAAAAACCACCTGGACACAGTCGTGGCCAACCTGCCTTAGGTGGCCCTGCTTGAGCCAGGGGGCTGGACAAAATGGTCTGCAGAGATCCTTTTCAACCTCAACCAGTCTGTGATACACTGGGCAACACTTAACTTTTCTTCTTTTGTCACCAGAAATTGTTGAACTGACTTAGCAGGAATTCAAGTTGCTTTGAAGCCAGAAGTTTAAACTGCTCAGATTTAAAGGTACATTTGCTGTAGGGCTGGGGAAGAGGCTGGAGGAGTTGGAAATGGGGCTGTGGTTAAGAAATAGGATTGAACTGGAACGGAGTCTGAAGCTGCTTTAATTTATTTGGGTGCATCTTGCCTGTTCACAGACAGGAGCCACTCATTTGAAGCTGTTGGACCAGTGGTGTTTTGAGTGTGTTTAAAGTTAAAAGCTTAATGTTTGTCAGTGCTGATAAAACTCTTTGACAGCTGTGTGCCTCAAAAGTTTCAAGTCTGGGGCCTGAAACTCCAAAGCAGTGATTGTATAGGAGAATGCTCCTTCCAGGAATCAGGTTGCTTCCTGATTTTGAGGAATAGAGGTGGAAGCAGCAGTGGGTCTTGATGTGGAGGTTGCCAGGCACCAGTGAAGGAGCTGGTGGGAGAAGCAGGACAGCTGGATGAACCCCCCAACATGGAATTCAGAATTCCTCAGCAGTGTTGTGTCCAAGGCTCATATTTCTGCTGGCAGAGGTGTTTCACAATCAATTAAACCTGAGCTGACAAACTGTTAGTTTCATATTCAGAGACTTTGCTGGATCAGGAGGCACAGCACTGCCTCCTGGTCTCCAGGAGGTGACAAATGGCTTTCCACAGAAAGACCTTCTGGGCACAGTGTTCATCACTCTCCTGGGACAGCAGGTGGGGTGGGCTGCTGCCATTGCTGGGAACTGGTGATGGCCAGGAATCAATGCTTCCCTGTGTTATCCAACTGTTCCATGTCAGTGCATGACCTTTTTGATTATAAGGTGATCCTGAGACTCCTGTGTCACTCCAACCAAGACAGAGAGCTGAGTAAATGCCATCCTGCTGTCCTGACAGTCTGGCACGCAGAGCAACCATCTCAGCACTTTCTTGGTACTCTGCACCAACAAAGGGTTTGTTAAATAGTCTCTGTACTTGCTTAGAGATGGACCCTTGCTCCTGGGTGGATTCTAAATTGGCTCCTCTTTGGAGAGCAGTAACTGCACCAAGCAGCAGTTGGATCAGAACACACCAGTCATTTTTTTCTGGGTAGCTTCATTACCTTGGAAAAATTGGTGCTTTTCATCTCCCTGTTGTGATTCAGCTGGAGATTCCATTGCTCCTCAGTTGCTTTTCCTTACCCTGAAGTGTCCCATGGATGAGTGCTTTACTGGAGCAGGTTTGTTTGGAATTCCAGCTAGACTTAAACAGCAGTGTCTGTGGTGGCTGGTACTGTCAGGGATGGCTGGAGTGGTGGATATTAGACCAGTCAGGCTTTGCAGACAAAGTGAATCATCTGGAGGTTGTGTTTGGAAGATGAGGAAGTGGAGATCAGCTGCTTTTAAGAGTCTCTTCACCTCTGAGTTCCAGGAACTTTAACATGCCTCTTAAATTTGGATGAGCCAATAGATGTTCCAGTAGGGCTTTAAATTGTGTTCCACACTGCTCATTTGGCTACTGCTGGAAGGACCTGTGGAGAGCTGTTGTCATGGGTTGTCCTGAGCTGCTTCCTGGCAGAGGAACCTCAGCCATGGAATTTACAAGTGGAATTTGCATCTTACCCACCCCTTCAGTCTGAGGTGGGGCAGCAGCAGGAAGGTGAAGTTGCTCACTGGGGATGGTGAGCTGACCTGGGAGGTGTGAGAGCACAGCAGCTGCTGAGGAGGGGAGGTGGATCATGCCCTGCTGAACTGTAGCTGATCCTGCTGACAAGCTGTCCATGGCAGGATTTTCTGCCTGGAGAGACTGTGCTTGAACTTCAGAGTGTTTTGTGCTTTGTGAAGGCAAGTCTTGCACTGGGAACTTGGATGCCAGTTGTGCTGTGTTACACTGTAGACTGTATTCTGCATGTCACTCAAGCAGTCTAATATTAAGTGTTGAGTGATCATTCTGCCTGATGAAGGTGCATTTCTCTCACTGCTCTGTGGGGAAGCTAAGCCCATTTTTAGAACCACTTTGCTGTCAACCTGTTTGCTTGATGAGTTTGGTTCTCCCAGTCCCTTGGTGTTTAGAAGTACTTGGTCTGTGCTAGTTCCTGGCAGCAGGAACCACACTGAAGAGCAGGTTGTATTTGTTGTCTGCAGAGATAGATAGGGAGCACAGCTGAAAGGTTAGAGGTCAGTAGGCTGCCTGGTGAGTGAAATGAAACAAAGCAAACCCAATTTTGGAGTGAAAGGGAGCTTTAAACTGATAGTGGTTCTGAGTTGCTTAATGTTCTGCTGCAGACTGGGCAACTCTGACAGCTAAGAGTGAAGAGATGAGAAATAATTCTGTACAGAGTTGTTTCAAGGGAGGACCCCTTTGAATCAATGGCAAGTAAAGTTTATTTTGCAGTTACTGACAAAAATCCAGACTTGAATTGAAAGAGTGCACACTTATGGTACATCCCTTCCAGTGGGAGACTCCAGGGGATGCTGTCAAGCTGATAATGCTTTGCCTATGGTCATGCAGGATGTGTAGGACAAGGTGTAAAAATGTCACTTAACCTGCCTTGTGTAGTTATTCAGCTTGATTCTGTGGTTATAGAACTTTTTGGGAACTTTTTTGTCTCCTACCAATAGAGTAGTCATTTGAGTAGTAAATGTCAAGGCTTTGCTGTGGAGCTCATTGCTGTAATACTTGACTGCAGAGGAGGGTGGTCTGGTGAGTTTTTAATTCCACAGTGTTGGTTTAATTAGTTACTCTGATACACAGCTGACATGTTTGGTTGCTTCCTCTTTACCCTTGCACTTGAAACTTGGAGAAGGTGCCTTTTCCAAGGGGTTTTTCCATAGTGGTCTGGAGGCTCCTTATGTTGGTCGGTCTAAAAGGTGTGTATGTGCAATGTTCTAGTGGAAAACCTCAAGAGAAACTTCCTGAATTGATATGGACAGATAGCTGGGTTCAGCAGGATATTAAAATTACACCAGTTTAGATAACTGGTTAAAAATGTTCTTCTTGCTGGGGCTGTACAGATAAAAAGGGAATGATGTGAAGTCACCAGCAAGAGCAAGTGTAATGAGAATAGTTTGGATTAATGAAGACTTAAAAAAATAAAACAAAGCAGATGAATGTGGCAGTGCAGCTTGAAGCCAAATGATTGCATCCATTTTTATTCAGTGTTTTTGGAGTGATGCTGAAGAGTGAACTGCTGAGTGTTGGGAAGAGGAGGGGTGTTAGGGTGGCCTGAGAGCACTGACCAGGCCTGCAGTGTGGTTCTGACCCATGGTGTTCTGAAAAGTCCTTGGTTTTTAAAGACTGTGGTAAGATAAAACTTGAGGGAATAGTTACAATAGTTGAGCAGAAAACTTGTGTTGGATTTCCTACTGTTTCTGGTGAAGGCAGGGGACAGGTTTGAGCTGTCTCACTCATCCTACAACTGAAGAAACTCAAGTGATCAGAGCAGTGGAGTCTGACAGACAGAAAGGAATGAGCTACAGGAGAATTGCTGGACAAACAGCTGTTTTGAGGCTAAACTGACTGGGAGCAGCTGGATGTGTCAAAGAGTTCCCATTACTGAACACTTTACTCAGTGTATGTGAGGGAAAGGAGCTGGTGCTGGAGCTGTACTACAGGTGCTAAATGTGCTTTGTCCCTTGCTAAGGGACAGCACTTCAGGACTGTTTGCTTCTACATGCCTCCCTCACACTCTGAAGCTGTGTTCTGAGAGGGAGCTCAATAAATAGCCCAAATGCCAGTTATGGTAGAGGATAATTAAGCCCTTAACTCTCTCACAGGTGTACAGTAGAAAACTGGGAAAAGGAGGAAGAGGTTGCTCTTTATTCCAAACCAGAAATATGTTCACTTAAATCAAGGCCACTTTATTACCACACTTGCCCTAAATGCTTTGAACTTGGAACTGAGAATTGATTAGTGAAGGGTCTACAGAAACAGGGGGGAAACTGAACTAAGTGTTTTTCTGTGTTCTTGGTGCTCACACCACTAAGCAGCACACTCAGTTCAGACCTAGGGAAGCTTTCACTTTTGTCCCACTTGGAAAAAAACTTCTTCTCCATTTCCAATGAATATCAGACCTCTTTACCTCTTCTCTCTGGAGGATGGTGATGCCCTGGCACAGGTTGCCCAGAGGAAGCTGTGGCTGCCCCATCCCTGGAAGTGTCCAAGGCCAGGTTGGATGGGGCTTGGGGCAGCCTGGGCTGGTGGAAGGTGTCCCTGCCCATGGCAGGGGGTGGAACGAGCTGAGCTTTAAGGTCCTTTCTGACCCAAACCATTCTGTGATCTGTTTTGTGGCCTGTGTTTTAACCTATATTAACTCCTTTGTTGTTTTTATGGGGCTGTGTGCTGTTTCCTTTCATTTTTCATGGATAGCTGCCTCGTGCAAGTGATGGAAATTGGAGCAGATTTGTGTTCTAGTGTCTTCAGACTCCTCACTCTTGTCATCTCCAACTTGCTCGGAGGCTGAACTGTGACAACTCCGCGTCGCTGCAATTGGTGAAGGGACATATGGAGTGGCACTGTTTGATCCAAACAGGCAGAGAGAAGGGAATGTTTGGCATTTCTGGGAGGGGGGCAAGATGTCCCTGCCGTGCCTGGTGTAGTGTTGTCCCAATATGCTTTGCTTGTAACTCCCTGCCTTCTCCTCTCCTCTCTGGTGTGAATGCAGGAATGTCCGTGTGCTATTTGTGGCTTTGCAGCAGTCTCCTGGCTCCTTGTATGGATGAGGTTGTCACTCAGCTGAGCAGGATGTGGCCTCTGGGATATAGGCACTATATATTTATAGTGAAACACTCAAGTTCTAGGGCTCTGGGGTTGGGAGCAGTGCAGGGAGCTGGATGTTCTTGGGTCATTTTGAATATTACACTACACTTAATCCATCTCAATCTTCCTTATGCTTGGAAAATAATTGGGTAAAGCTTCTTAGTTCTCTGCAAGACTGGTGTTATTTTTAAACAGATCTTCAAGGCCAGGTTGGATGGGACTTGGAGCAACCTGGTCTAGTGGAAGGTGTCCCTGCCCATGGCAGGGGGTTGGAATGAGATGAGCTTTAAAGTCCCTTCCAACCCAAATCATTCTGTGATTCTAAAGTAGCTGTGAACAGCCCTTTCTCAATTCATCTCAGCTGGACTTGTCTGCTGTTTGACTTTTGATTAGTACTGCTCCAGGTCATTTAACAGTGTAGGGAAAAACTGAATTTCAGGTGCAAAAGCAGGGATGTCTTCCCAGAATGCTCTCACGTGTGGGTTCAGAGAGACATGACTGCTGCTGGACACACCTATCCAGGAGGTTATTCCTTGTGACATTGTGGTCATGTGAAGTTGTGTAGTTCACTGGTAAGGAATTCTGTTCAGAATCACTCAGCTGATGTACCTGGGATTACTGCTCCTTGGGAATTTTAAATAAATGCTGCTGATGCTACTGGCTGGAGGGCAAGGAAGGGTGTGGGCTGACCTGTGCAGGTGTCCTCAGCTGCACTGCAACTAATTGTGTCTCTTTTTTCTCTCCCCAGTACTTTTGTCCATCTGTTCTCTGTTGTGTGATCCCAATCCAGATGATCCTTTAGTGCCTGAGATTGCACGGATCTACAAAACAGATAGAGAAAAGTAAGTATGGAAGCCAAAAAAACGTGGAATATGACAGGGCAGAGTCCACACTTACACAGTAAAGGGGAACTGAAAGGCCCCACTTCTTGGAAAAGAGTGGAAAAAAAAGGCAAATCAAAGCTCTGTGGTCTTTTTAGGGGTGTTTTTGTTTTTCCCTGAGATCTGTAATGCCACTCTCTGAGCTGCTTTAATCCCACGTAGCCAGCAGAGGGAGAGCAAGTTACTCCAACGGGAGAATATTCCATGGCAGCTCTGGGTCTGGAATCATACAAAGAAATAACAAAAACTCCCTGTTTCTCCTTCACTTGTCAGCACAAGGGAAGAAGAAGTGGTGGAGAGGTTGGGGTAGGAGGACTCCCAAGCTTCTGTACAGAGAAGCTTTGGTGCCAATGAGCACTTTAACAGCTTAATGACCATTGTAAACACTTCCTACCTCTCTGTTCCTTCCCAGATCTGGTCAGGGAAGGGAAAATGATCCACAAATTTGCTTTGTCTGCTGCATGCTTGAGGAGCAGTGTTTAGAGAAGTTCATGCATCCTGTTTTTGAGAGCTGCAAGAGCAGCAGCACCTGTTTGGAGATGCAGTGATCACTGACTCTGCGCTTGAAGTATGCAGGACTCCTCTTTTTTTTTTTTTTTTTTTCCCCCCCCCAAAAATAAGGAAACAAATTTTGGGCTTAACCATAAGGACTTGCTGCTTGAGTAGTCTCTGAGCAGTGATGGGAAGGAGAGAGTTAGGAGTGGATTTTCAGATTCTTTAAGCCAAAGAATGTTGTCTATGGACTAAATTCCAACACAAACCAATTTGGTGTGCATAACTATAGGAAAATTCTGGCTGTAAGTATCTTATTCTTTTAATTCTGTAGAATAAGAACAACTGGTTGTCAGAGAGAAACTTTCATCAGTGCAGTTAATCACAACTGCTTTGATTTGCACAGGTATCCTGAGCTTCCTCTGGCTGTGAAGGGTATTTGGATGCAAAAGCCACAGGGGGGTTTGGAATTGTTGTGCCTTCAGAACAAAAACAATTCTGATGGACAAATCACTGTGTCCTGACTGTTATCAAAAAATGACAGTCAGATATGTAGCAAGGAACAGGGCTGTTGGGGTTGGGCAGGTATTGGGTTTAACTTAGAAGGGAGGAGATGGCAGGGACACATGAATCTATTCCAGAATGTCCCAGTGAAACCTTACAGCAAGTTTTCCCAGGGGTTAGGGGAGGCACAGGTAAAGCCTTCCTGAGAATCCTTTCCCCTCAGCCCTTTCCTTGCTCTGTTTTATGGCTCCAATCACAAAGATCTCATACTCCTGTTGTAAACATGACCAGGTGTTTCTTTTCCATGAAGCACCCTGGGCTTTCTTGTTCCCCCGTTTGCTTAGTGTTTAATTTTGCTCCTAAATGTTACAAATTGTTGATAGAGTACTGTAGAGAGTGTGAGTTCATGCCATGTGTAGACTAGACTGCTGGAGCTGGAATACTGTGCAGATGCCACGTTAAGTAAATCCTCTTTTTATACATACAGGTACAACAGAATAGCTCGGGAATGGACTCAGAAGTATGCGATGTAATTAAAGAAATTATTGGATAACCTCTACAAATAAAGATAGGGGAACTCTGAAAGAGAAAGTCCTTTTGATTTCCATTTGACTGCTTTCTATGAGCCCACGCCTCATCTTCCCCTGTGCACATGTTTACCTGATACAGCAGTGCTGCGTGTTGTACATACTTGGAACAACAAACTAGAAATACTGTATTTCCCCGTACCAACATTGACTCCTAGCAGAGAAGTGTGTGTGTGAAAAGCTGGTTCTTCAGTCATAACTTTGTGAGCCTAAAAGCATTCCTTGCTGAGTTAAAATTGGGTAATCAGATGGGAATGGGAAGAGTCCTGGTGGTTCTCAGATATTTTTTTTTTTTTAGGGACAGTGTTGCTGATTCATGAAGGATTTTAAGTGGAATCCTTTTAAACTCATAACAGTTATGAAAAGCAAGGTGAAGAACTTGAAACTGTTTCTGTATTCATTTTATTCTGAAGGACCTACACCTTAGGTAAATGTTATGACCAATGAGAAACTGTACCCACATCCTGTGTTTAAGGTCTAAGTTTAACCGGTCACCATTTAAATGGATTGGAGCTATTAGTGCATCAAGTGATGTTGATTTGTTTCAACTCTCTCCCTCCCTTCATACTTTTTTTGGTTTGTATGTGGTTTCTCAGTTAATACCTAGCTAATAGCTCTTATTTTTTCTTAAGTTTTTTAACTGCTTAGGTCTTTCTGGATGTAAGGGTAAAAAAAAAAAAAAATCCATTTGACAGAAAACTTGTGTGTATTTAAAGACCCAACTGCTCCCCTGGAGCTTGTACGTTCAAGAATGATTAATCTGTGTAATAAACTGATTACTACAGTCATTACATATAACTTTGTGTGAATAGGCTTTTAATTTTCAGAGCAGTTTGTTACAGGCTTAAACTAACGGTGGATTTCTCTTAAAAAAACAAAAACAAACCAACTTTTGGGTTGAAGTCGTGAAGCAGTTTGGTTTGCATCACACAAGGCACCTGAAGAGGCAAACAGGAGCTTGAGCACTTAGATGAAATCAGGATGTGTAGTGTGCCAGGAACTTGACTGTTAAACCAAATAAGCAGTTTACTAAATGCGAATCAGAGTGACATTTTACAAAGCCTGATGGTATTACTCCCACTTGCATGGGACCTAACACAATGCATATGTACTGTAGGTAAGTGAAACCTTATGTAACTAAAAAAAAAAAAAATGGATGTAAAAGGGTAAAAAAATGAAAAAAAACCAACCTACCAAACACATCAGCACAAACTTTCATAAAATGTAGCTTTTACATAATTACTTTGCACTAAACATTTGCAAATGTTCATACAGTTTTAAATTGTACTTGTATGTGTCTTTTTTTTTTTTTTTTGGAACAAAGTCTTCACTTGAATCTAGTGAAAAAAAAAAATAATGTAGTTTGAAACTTTTCTTTGTATACAAGTGTATTTGCCAGCATCGTTGGTGTGACAGTAGGTGAGTCTGCAAGTTTATCTCCTCTTAGTAGAATTGTAACCCAAGCCATCGGGCAGGAGAGGCTGGAGCCGCTGGCTCTCCGGCCACAGGGTCTGTCCCAGCCATTCCCAAATGCATCTTGACACTCTTGCACAAACGAGGAATAAATGTCCACTGCTTTTGGTCTAAAATCTGTTCCGCTTGTCTCATCTCTCGGTGTGTCCGCAGCGCTGCAGGAGGTGTGACCCTCGGGCAGGGAGCTGGGTCCCTCTCCAGAGGCACCAGGAAAGCTGCTCTCCTGGCCTGGGGACAGAGTGGCTTCGCTGGAAAAGGCATTGGAGCACGTGTGTCCTGGCTGAGGGGTGACAGCTACAGGGGAGGGGGAGAGATTGGTGTGCAGGGCTGTGAGCCTCGGGTCGGGCCTCCCTCAGCTCTTGGTGCTTATCCACAGGGTGTTGGTGTCTGGAATGCTGGGAAGGCAGGGTGTGACTCTGGATAACACCTGTGGCATTGTCAAACCTGGAGTGCAAGCTGGTGGCTGGGTTTGTGTCAGCCTTGCCTTTACTGACCTGTTGTAACGTGCAGGCTGTGCTCCTGCTGGACCCTCAGCAAACAGCTCAGTGGGGGAGTTTCACAGTTTATCACAGAATATTCTCAGTTGGAAGGGACCCCCAAGGATCACTGAGTCCAACTCTTAAGTGAATGGCCCATGCAGGGATGAAACCTTGTCATTATTAGCACCATGCTCTGACCAACTGAGCTACTCTTAGGGTCGCCCTCCCCTGTTTTTCCATGGGGTCACAGAAAGACAAGGGAGGAGCTTTGGGGGGATTCTCTTTACCTGCTTTGCAGTTGAGCCTCCCAAGAATGATTTTTGAGACAGATCTGGTTGGCTTTGGGCACTGGAAGTTGCTGAAAAAGATCAGAGGTGGCCTGTATGGGGGGAGAGAGAAAGGAGCACTGACAGCTGAGCGAGCTGAGGGAGATGGTTTCCCTTTCTGGTGGAGCAGAAGTCGCATCCAAGAGGTGACAGGACATTAATAAGCCATACATGCATTGAAACAGTCCTGAATCTGTAACAGCTGCAGCTTGGATGATCCATTAACACATCTGCTCCTGTTGGGATGAGTCTCACTTGCAGTGAAGTGCTCAGGCAGTTCAGACTTTTTTTGCTGTTGGCACAACCACAGTTGTGTAGTAAAAGCAGGTCTGGTGATGTTTGAGCAGGGAGGATGTGCTCTGTCCCTTGTGTGGGATGACCACTCGTTTGGAGGGTTGTACTGTGAACTAGATGAAGGAGCCTTTTTTTTTTTTTTCCTAGCATTTAACTGAAAACCTGACCCAGCTTAGCTATTTTTGGGACTAGAAACCTGCTCCTTTGAAGCTGTACATTGAGTATGTTCCAGTGTCAAACAGCACAGGAGGCCGTGGGCTCTGGATGTTGCCTTTCTAGGAACATTGAGCTTGTCATGTCATCAACCTCTTGCATCCCTGTCCAGTTTTTAAACTTTCATTTAGTATTTTAAGTTGCCTGTTTCCCTTTGCATGGCTTTCTTTGCGCTGCGGATTCTATAGATTGTTCATGGGATTCCCTTTTTTTCTTTACATGTGCTAAAGAAATGTGTTTTATTAAAAAGTACTGAGCTGCTTAGATCCCCCCAGCTCTGGCAGCAGAGCTGGAACACTGTGCCTGGATATATCCTTGAGCTCATCAGTGCCCATCCACTGCATGGAAGTGACCCAGAGGAGGAACATGATGCCATGTATTTTGGAACCTCTCCAACAGTGCTGAGTTGGCTTAAAACATTCCCATGGCTCAAAGCCCAACCTCCCTGGACCTGCAGATTGGGATGGAGCTGATCCTGGGCAGTACTGGAGACCTGATTACTGTGCTTGAAACACCAGCTTGTCCTTCAGCAGGATGTGCTGCTGCATTTCTGTCACAGCTTTTTGGCAAGGCAAGAGGGTTTTTTTAAAAAAATATTTTTAGTTATTATCATGCTTTACCAATGCTTCCAAGTAAGCTGCATCCTGAAATGTCCTTGGACTCTTCTGTTCAGTCTGCATCCATCAACTGATGTAGCAAAAACAGCAGGGCTGAGTTGGAAATGATCTTGTGTCCCTGGTGTGCTCACCAAACTGTTCCCTGTCCTGGGCCTGTGACTTTCCTGGTGGTTTTCCTGGCTGCAGACAGCAATGCCTGGCTGCATTTTTGGATGGTCTCAGTCATCTTCAGCAGCAAAACAGCTCTAGACCTGTTCTTGTTCCCAGCTCTGCTGTACAGGAGAAGATCAGGAGCCTAAAGGAAGGATGATGGGAAACTTTGCCCAGTTAAAGGTGGATTCTCTTTGTGCCCTGAGCAGCAAATGCTGGGGAGAGCAAGGCAGGAGACCTGGGCATGTGGGAGGTGCAGTAGAAAACTGCTCCAGTGAGTTACAACTAAAGAACCAGGACAACAAACCACTTCTGAATGTGCTCAGTGCTCCCACTGCAGGTGGAGGAGCCCTTGGGTCAGGCTCCAGGCATGTCCAGGCACAGCTTGGAAGTCTCCTCCTGGGAGAATATAACCCCAAAGGTGTGTCTGAGTGGAAGGAAGGCTGTCCTTGATAAATACAGAACCTTTGAGCAGTCTTCTCATCCACTCAGCACTGGGGAAGCCTCCCTCCCTCTCCTGCAGGTAGCTGGAATGGAGCTTCGTTCCCTGCTGCCTTCCATTCCTGGGCTCTTTGGGTAGGCTTGGAGCAAGTCTGTGCTCAGAGCTGGAAATCTCAGTTGTCTGGGTTTGGCAGAAGCAGTTTCCTGCAGGGAATGCACAGGGACAAGAGCACTGAGGGTGCCTGATGGAAGGTTAAAAGCAGGACAAATCCTGCTCCCTAGCTTTTGGGAAGCATGAAGACCAACTCCTGTGTGAGTGACGGCGCTCAGAGACTCCAGGAGGGATCCCTGCAGCTGCCCCTGCCCTCCCCTGGAAGTGTGTGTGACTAGATCTGTGCTAACACTGCCTGTACTCTTGTATCGTGTTGCAATTTGATCATTAAATAATTCCCTCAAAATCACTGTGGCTTAATGGCTTTTTTTTCTTTTAACCCATTTATTTTGGCTCGTGCTGCTTCCTTTCCTCTTGTGGCTGCTCTCTCCCTTCTCCCTGGTGCTCCAGTCCTGTGCTGTCCCTCTCTCAACCATCTCCAGTCACCTTCATCTTGGCTCTTTTAGCTCCCTACAAAGCCTGGCTTGCTCTGGCCACGGGCAGGGCTTTGGGGGTGACCTGGAGTGGCCTTGGAGGTCGTGTGCCTGCATCTTCATGCAGAAATGTGTCTGCTCCCACCAAACCCACACTGTCCCCTTCCTTCTTGGAATTTGTGACTTAAAAGCAATTCTGCTGGTGCTTTGATTTCCACACAGGCTGCTTCCAGCATCTCAGTCCCTGATCCAGAGGGCTCACTGCTGTCTAAATCTGGGATCAAGCTCTGGAGTGAGGGCACAGGGTATCTGTGGTGCTGGAGAAAGCCAGAGCTGTCTTGGCTCTTCAGGAGTTCCCACAACTCATGGCTTGCTCTTCCTCTGATCTGGCACTCACAGGATCTATTTTATTGTTTCTGCCTCTCAGTGTCTCCCCTGCTTCTGCCCTGGGTGAGAATGTTTAGGTTTTATTGTTTACAGTCATGTGAAACCATCTCAGGGTGAGTGGGAGCTGGATATATTTACCATTCTTGTCTTTTCACGAGCAAAGCCATTTGTTGCTCAGCTCTAAATGTTTCTTTGGGTTGAAAGAGCAAGTTGTGGGATGTAGATAAAAGTTTGCATTTTGAATAACCAGTGAACTCCTGTTCATTCCTTCCCTGGAAGTGTCCAAGGCCAAGTTGGATGGGGCTTGGAACAACCTGGGATAGTGGAAGGTGTCCCTGCCCGCAGCAGGGGGTGGAACCAGATGAGCTTTAAGGTCCCTTTCAGTCCAAACCAGTCTGTGAACTTGGATGACTGGGAATGGCATCCGTGGTTAGAGCTGGTATCAAACCAGAACTGCTGCTAAACTTCTACCCTGGTGTGTGATGACTGGGAGAGAAACTTGTTCTTAGCTGATGGTAAACACAGAGGGAGCAGCTTCCAAAGCCTGATGGGGTCAGTCTGTGCCCTGATGCCCTGCCTGGACACGAGCACCTGCTTTGCTTCTCCTCCTTTGGGGTCTTGTCAGGAGTGAATTTAATCTGCACGGGCTGAACATTTTTTAGAGCTTTTTTCTTGCTGGTCTTTGACACAGTTTTTTTCAAAAGACAACCTAATCTTGGGGTTATATGAGTGCTGTATTTTTGATTGAGAGGGGTTGGTTTGGGGGTTCTTTTTTGTTTGTTTGTTTGTTTGTTTGTTTAAATACTGACTTATGTGGCATCCCCCATACATTG